ATGCGTGTTGGAGTTGCTCATAACCTGTTCGGTTCGAATATTCTGAGATCCAGCGTTCGAGGTTCTGCCACCTCCATCATTGTGAGGGGTCAAGTTTGAGATTGTATATTGGAGAGCCATCAGCCCATAAAGTGCGCTACCATACACCTTCCTTGTCACACTGTTCTTTTGCTCTAATTTGAAGCAGTGGGCCCCGCGGTCTCCTTATATGCTCTCTTCGCACTCTACTTCGACCAGAGTGGAGTCTTGAGGGCACGGTTGAGCCCACCACTCCTACATAGCGTGGTTTTTTTTTTTTATCCTTTCTGTTTTCTCTTTTCTGTTCGATGTCGAATTCACACATTTGGTGAGTAGTGGAGCAAGGCCCTTTGCCATCATCCGTAGTTTCCTTTTTATCACAACTGCCGGGGTCTCGGCCCACATGCTCCGTGTAGTTTAGTTTTCTACAACAGTGTGGCGCGAGAAGGCAGGAAACCAACATTGAATCATCCTCATATTTGGTTTCATTCATCTAGTCCCATCAGGATTCGAACTCAGGTCTGCCTTTCAACAGTGCATGGTGTACCACGTCCTATTCCTCCTATTGGATGCGAACTCAGGTCTGCCTTTCAACAGTGCAGCCCACATGCTACGTGCAGTTCAGTTTTCTACAACAGTGTGACGTGCGAGAAGGCGGGAAACGAACATTGAATCATCGTCGTATTTGGTTTCATTCATCTAGTCCCATCAGGTTTCGAACTCAGGTCTGCCTTTCAACAATGCATGGTGTACCACGTCCTATTCCTCCTATTGGATGCGAACTCAGGTCTACCTTTCAACAGTGCATGGTGTACCGCGTCCTATTCCTCCTATTGGACAAACCATATCCTTGGGGGCCTGGACTTTCTCAGAGGCACCTTTTGCATTGATCTGCTTCTGATTCAATATAGTATCAATCGCTCTAGCAGTCTTACCTGTTTTTCTATCTCCAATAATAAGTTATCGTTGACCACGACCTATTGGAACAAGGCTATCCGCAGTTAACGACCATTTCATCAAATGGACATTTTTTATTTTTTTAACGAAATTGAAACTGAGTTTTTTGGCTGCCTGGAGGTGCTTGGTCTCAAGCTAGGTCCATGTACAGCCAGGGGGGCAAGCATTTGTAAAACGCTGGACCCTCAGGAACAGCAAATTTTGACAAGTTTTCGGCCAAAAAACTCAGTTTCAATTTCGTTCAAAAAATAAAAGATGTCCATTTTGACGAAATGACAGTTAGTTATTCTCCGACGAAGAAAACCTGGCCTTACCTTGCCCCATGCATTCACCGAAGAGGAAAATCCTGCGTAGTTTGCTACCCCAAAAAAAACTCAATAGCATACGACAAGGCCCGTGCCTCTCCCTCCCTTCCTAACATCGACCACAACATAGCGTACGATGATCCCCCAACATCGCGTGCCACAACGCCCGCGCCTCTCCCTCCCTTTCTAACATGACCCCAACATGATGCCCCAACCAATCACAAAGCGGTCAGCAGCTGGCTCCCCTTCCAAAAAGGTGGGATTTGTAATCCAACCTTTTTTGTCCTTTCTTTTTTTTTTTTTAATACTGCCCGAGTTGGTGCTAGGGGTGCTGATAAGAGCAGGCACCGCTAGCACTCCCGGGGAGGCTCCATCTATTGGTGGGGAGCAGCACCTGCTGGAAATCGGGTCCAGCGTCCCTGAACATTGTGCTTATGTATTCGAACAAACAACATGTGTCCGGATGGAGACTCCTGCAGGGTTCCAACCCTTTTTTGTCTTTTGTGAGTTGTGAGATGATCTGTAGTTCCCAGTGGTCCCACAGGCACACAGGTAGTAGAAAACTAAATTACATTCCTGCGGCTATGGGCCTCGCTCCACCGGGGGTATCAGACAGATGTAGTTCTGTTTCTTCAAGCCTGCGGGTATGGGCCTCGCTCCACCACTCTATAATGTGCCAAAGTGAGAATGAATCTTCCGCTAGAACATGGAACTATACACCGCCATCTTTTTTGTCTTTTGTGCATGTCCGGACTATCGTCTTCCCCCGAACACAACGCACCCTCATTTTGGCTGTACCTGACCGGAAACATGGCTCATATACACTCATGATCAGGGTGCATTGTGTTCGGGGGAAGATTGGTAGTGGAAGGAGGCCCTATCATATGTTCTCTTTTTTCACACCTGGAGCTATGCCCGTGGGGCACACACCCTTTGCCATCATGGGCTTCGCTCCACTACTCTCCAGATGCACAAAAGACAAAAAAGATGGCTGACAGTGTATATTCCCATGCTCTACCGCAAGATTCATTCTCATTTTGCACATTTGGTGAGTAGCGGAACGAGGCCCCATATATAGTTCACTTTCCCCCCCCCCCCCCCCCCCCCCCCCCCCC